GGCATATTGTGCTTACTTCCTAGCATGCGGATGACAGCTGTGTGTGACTTAGTATATATTCTGGTGCTTTCACTTCCAGAGACAGTTGTAAGCACTGTGTAACTGCCTCGAGGGTGCTTGACCATTTTAACACAACGTGGTGCGATCATCCCCCTTGCGCGGAGTGAGGGTTCACCCCGCACAACATGATCTACTCAACCATCATTATGGTTACCGCCCAAAAAAAATAAACGGAGGAAAAAAAAAAAAACGGTAACCTGGTTGCCGAGTTCACGAAGTGAGTTGGCTTGTTTTACAACGTCGTTGCCAAGCGACGAAAACCCAACCCCGATGGCAAACACCGCCATCATAGAGGGTGGGAAGGGAGGTGTACTCATGGTCGTGCATGACGTGGCCGTTAGACCAGTGACTTCGCATCCCCACAACGCCGGGAGGGAGCACGCCGGGTTCTCACCGGACCAGGCTCTCACATCACCAAGCGCAAAGCGCCGTGAGGTAGACTATTCGGCGAGTCGCATGAAGGGTGCGCTGCATCCTGCTGAGGGTGTTCGGCATCTTTTGCTTACTTCCTTGGATACGGATGACAGCTGCGTATGACTTAATATATATTCTGGTGCTTTCACTTCCAGAGACAGTTGAAAGCCCTGCGTGACTGCCTCGAGAGTGCCTGACCATTTTCACACAACGTGGTGCGATCATCTTCCGTGCGCGGAGTGAGGGTTCTCGATCCCGCACAACATCATCTACTCGACCACTATTATGGTTACCGCCAAAAATATAAACAGAGGTAACAAAAAAAACGGTAACCTGGTTGCCGAGTTCACGAAGTGAATTGGCTTGTTTCTCAACGTCGTTGCCAAGCGACTACAACCCAACCCCGACGGGAAACACCGGGGGGGGCGGCTTGCTTTCCAACGTCGTTGCCAAGCGACGAAAACCCAACCCCGATCGCAAACACCCAGGAGGGGGCTTGTTTTACAGCGTCGTTGCCAAGCGACGAAAACCCCAACCCCGATGGCAAACACCGCCATCATAGGGTGGGAGGGGGGGTGTACTCATATTCGTGCATGCCGTAGTCGGTGGACCATTGACCTCGCATCCCCACGAAGCCGGGACGGAGCACGCCGGGTTCTCANGCGCTGCATCCTGCGAAGGGTGTTCGGCATCTTGTGCGTACTTCCTTGCATACGGATGACAGCTGCGTATGGCTTAGTATCTGTTCTGGTGCTTTCACTTCCAGAGACAATTGTAAGCACTGTGTAATTGCCTCGAGGGTGCTTGACCATTTTAACACAACGTGGTGCGATCATCCCCCTTGCGCGGAGCGAGGGTTCTCCACCCCGCACAACATGATCTACTCGACCACCATTATGGTTACCGACAAAAACAAAACCGGAGGTAAAAAACAAAAAACAGTAATCTGGTTGCCGAGTTCACGAAGTANGAGGGTGCTCGACCATTTCAACACAACGTGGTGCGATCATCCCCCTTGCGTTAAGTGAGGGTTCTCGACCCCGCACAACATGATCTACTCGACCACCATTATGGTTACCGACAAAAACAAAACCGGAGGTAAAAAACAAAAAACAGTAATCTGGTTGCCGAGTTCACGAAGTAAACTGGCTTGTTTTTCAACGTCGTTGCCAAGCGACGAAAACCCAACCCCGATGGTAAACACCGGGGGGCAGATTTTGAAACATGGGACGGGTTAGTTTTGTCACCTCCATGTCATAAATTTGGCATGGAGGTTCATGCCATTATCATCTCCCGCCATCATCATCTCCCTGCTAATAGCCGATAGCATGCCCAGCAGAAGCGGGCCCGCCCTTCTACCAACACATACCACCAATGATACACGAAACCCTCTACATCGATCTCCGTAGATCAGTATCGAGTGCTGAGTACCCCTATCAGCTTGTGTCTCCTCCGGCTATGCGCCAGAGGGGATGTTTGAGATTTTATATCACCCGGCCGGGGCTCCGCCTGTGATTTTTTGTGTAGCAGTTTGAACTCTCCGACAACAAAATATGAACGAGTACATGGTTCGGGAAACAAACAACATCGCGGAGCCCCGGGGACACAGGGGACGGCGAAGCGAAGCACGTCTTGCATAGCCATAAGTGGTGGCGCGTCCCTTACATCCACAGTCGCAGCCTGGGGACGTATTGGGTACCCCCGTTATGAAATGTAGCTGGCGCAACAACGGTATTTTCGCAGGATGCAGTCAGCAGCAATATCGTTAGTTTCAGCGAGGTTGCAAACATTTCTTGCACACCTCCTACTGCTGCAGGGTACTGCTGTACCCATTTCTTAATTTGGACACTTTCGGGTGGTAATCGGTAGTCTCCGCGGAGAGGAACCCCGTTTTCGTCGGAACGCCATACATGCATGCGCGAGCTAGAACCCTCTCTCACGAACCCGGCCATGATCACACAAAGAGGGTACGTACTGCACTGCCAAAGTTGTTCTTCATTCATTTCAAATATGCTCTGCACGATAGATAAAGTTCGGATCAGACCAACGGTGTGACTGTGACACAGTTACCATCGGTCCATACGGGTTCCATCCGTCTGCAAAACGACAAACGACAAAGCTTCAAAAGAATGCGACCCAACCAAGGAGAACCAGCCACCATTCTCCCGCACTGCAACACAAACGAGAACCGCCCCCCTCCCCGAAGGTTGCGCAAACCATTTCTACGTTCGCACGCTTGGTTAGATGTTGGATGTTAGATGTTAGATGGCGGTTATAGCGGTTGTAGGAATGGGGCCACGGGTCACGTGCAGCGTCCGCACCGAAACGAAAATGAAAAACAAACGAAAACAAACGCCCCGCTCGTCACTATTTAAACAAGGCCTCCACATCTATCTCGAGGTCGCCTTGGCCGGCCCTGACCCTCGTGTTTGGCATCCTCCCCTCAACAAGATCGTTGGCCGATGCGAGAAGTGATATTGTAGAAAACAACGCTTCCATTGCGTCCACGCCGAAGATTGCATCCGCCAGAGCGAAGATCACGCTGCGCACGCCACCGGTCGACTCGGTCACGGATCCTCCTCCCCCCGAAATCAATCCTTTGACGGCCTAACATTTCAGTCGAGACAAAAAAACAACGGAAAAGAGAACCGCTGTCACTCCATAATTGTACCCCCGTGAACGTTCCAAGCCAAAATGGCGGCAGCCATTAGTACTGAGGATATACACCTGTAGTTGCAATGTATTGGGCGATATTCAAGGAGTCGAAACATACACACTACCGTAGTAGGAAAAGGGACTCGACCAATAAGTCAAAGAAGCTTGAACCAACTACCGACCGCAACATTGTTCAGTGTTGAAGGTGTGCAACAGACCAGGGCGTCCGAGGGCGCATAACGTCAACCGTGGTTGTTCTAGCGCGAGCTCTTCGAGATAAAAGATAACCCCCAGCCTCAAATCGGCCCGGAAACGAAATAACCAATGAGGGTCAACGATATTCGGCGAACGTTCCTGGTCATCGTACCCATGCACAACGAGTGACAACGTTCCATTTTCGAAGAAACATACTCCGGTTGTGAAGAAGGTTTAGTCTAACCTGGGCAAGCGACCTCCTCTTCGCCCCGACTACGAGCGCATCCTCCGGGAGACCCCCCGCTTTCCTGCGCAAGGGCCGGATTTCAGAGCGGTGGACAGACAACAAGACTTCGGGGCACGCTCCCCACAAAGTTCGTACCGGGCGAAAGGCACAACACAGACGTGAGTTTAGAGGTCGTGTTCTCCAGAAACCATTCACCCCGGTGGTATCGTGGTTGACACCTCGTAAGTCTGAGAAATAGCAGAGCAGGTTGCGAGTCGTGGTTCTTTCTCTGCAGCGAAAAACAATTTGTGATTGCGTGGACAACGACAAAATCGTGGGTACACACACTCCAAATTCAACCAGGATCAACATGCGGAGATCCCATCGCACACACAAAAACAAGCCAGGAGAAACAGATGTGACACTCAATGAAGTCTCGTACATCCACCGAAACACACCCGCTGCGGCCCAGTCCCGGTGAAGCACAGCAGCAATATTAGACCTGGCGTCCGCTCTCTGGCTGCAACAAAGATGCGCCTTGAAGATGCGCTCTTCATGCCATTGGAAAACCTCTCCACTACGGGTGCAAATAAGATAGGTGGGAGTCTTCGCTGCAGCCGTAACAGCAGACAGCGAAGTCGAGGCATTGGTGCTGTTGACGCACTCGCCACATAAAACTCAGGAATATAGGGCGTGATGTCTTTCGCCGGACAATCATAGGGTGGCGGACGAGGGAAGGAAACAAACGACGACGCCTCCAGCACGCGAAACGTAAGAAGGCATGAGACTGAGATGATTAGAAATGGTCCACCCACGCCAGACAACTGTGTTACGGCTCTGTTTTAACTGTGCTTCTGCCACTTTCCACAACGCGCAGCACAATGTCTTCCACCTAGTGTATATTCGTGTCTGCAACCGTCCATTCGTGCCGCCGGCCGTGCTGGCAGTGCGATCATTAGGCGGTCCTGCTGTAGCAGGGCGAGTGTATCATGGCCAGTGTGTGTTCCTCCGCCGTTGGTGTGCATGTATTTGCCAATCCGGGGAGAAGTGGATGCACCAATATTCCGGATACGTGAATGAATGCCGCAAGCCTCCATCATTGCTACCTTGAAGCAGGGTGTCTCGCGACAGGATGGCGATTGAACTGGCATCCATGGGTGGTGTAAAAGAGTTGTGTGCAGTCGCTGGTCCGGTATAACCGCATGTAGGGCCAAGAGGACAACATGCCACTAGTCAGGGCAGTGCCGCCATTCGATATATCGGGTTCACGTTCGTGTTAAGATTGTGACCAAAAAAGAAATTTTGATGCCACCATATCGGCAATTTCACTATTCAACCTGTGGCGTTCTGCAGGGTGGAGGCGTATTCAATACCACAACACTGGTACATATTTCGTGCATTTTCTTGCTCGCGATGAAAGCGCAACTGGACGTCTAACAAGCCACAACTACATCCCTTCGCCAGTGCGTAGCATGAACCGAAACCGACCATCGAAAAAATATCCAACAGGGGCCTTATGATTTTCATCAATTACCAGATTTGGGAGTCGATGTATACTGACAGATATGAGCCGTACCCGGCGGTTCATTACCCCGCCCTATTATGACACCGGTGTGAAGCCTTGATGCGAAAAATGCCGCGGGTAACGCCGGGGAGTTGTGCACATGACCACTCCAGCGACCCAGGAAACGCTCGCCACATTTGGTTTTCCGCGATCGAACTTTGCAACAACCTGTCGCCCTTGCTAAAAAAGGCAGACGTATTTCATCGCTTTCAAAAACAGTCCTCTATGCACTGAACCGGGCAGCCACAAGTTAAGGCTTTTGGGTACAACTGTGGCACTCCGATTTTCGAATCCTTCCAAGCACCTATGCTTACGTATCACAGGCCTCTAAATATGGACTGCAGTGACGAGTGCAATGTATGAGGGACGAGCGGTTCTGAAGCTGGCGGTCGGACACACTCACATTGGCCCTGATTCGCGGCCACGGCATCTGAAGCCTTCAAAAACTGAACCGCCCCATAGCATTCAAATTCTCGCATTTGTTCCACTGTACCTCAGCGACAAAAAGCGTTGAAGCTACTATTTCCCTCGCGTCGTGCGCTGACCCTTTGGCGGGATGGTAGTTTGGTACTGAAGTTAGAATGTTCAAAAACAACTTTGGCAAGCGTTTCCTGGGTCGAGGTAGAGGAGATGTGCACAGCCCTCCCGCGCCCTCAACCCAGTCCCTCCGCGAAAAAAAATGCCGAAAACATGTTTGTCAGCCGTTGGTCGAGAGGCTACAGTCCCTCGAAAGAATCTGAGCTCGTTGCCAGAAAAAGGGTCACTTGGCTTCAGTAAGAAATGTGTCCCCCAAACACTCTTGATACTGAAGTTAAGTCAGCAAAATTTTCCAGTACCAGGCGATGAACCGGTACAGTGTGCGACCTTGGAGGCACGCGGGTTGGGAGGTGTGTACAGCAAGTCAGAGGCCCAGGAGAGGCATCACATAGAATATCACAGAGCATAACTCCTCAGCCAGGCATGATAGACCAAGGGTTCTCACGTGCGTTGCACACAGCGGAGCCTAGGGCGACTACAGTGCGGAAAAGAGGCTTTTTGAGTGCTGTGTCCCCAAAGTATCCCCATTTGGGCTTCCAGTACTAAGAGGGCTTAAGCGCTAACGATATTTGCACAACTTAAGGTGGAAACGGATCACGGTCCAGCTGAACGACGGTGGGGCTGTAAAGGGGGAGCAACACTGCACGCAAACACGTCGCTAGATTTTCGGCGGTGGCAAGAAGTACACGAGCGAATGTATAGTAGTTGCATCCGCCCTTGGAGAGCTGATGGATAGCTAATGGATCAATTGCCAGAACAAACTCACACCGCTCGAAAAAACTGTACTACAGTGCAGGCGGTGACGTACTTGGCGATGGCAATGGCAATGTTGAGGCCTCCAAGCTCGTCGACCAGGCCTCTGTCAAGCGCTTGTCGCCCCGTCCACACCCTCCCTTTCGCCACTTTAAGAACCTGTCCGGGGCAGACAAAAAACAACCTAGTTAATGTTGTCGATATCATTGTAAAATTATCGTTCCTGTGTATCGATACTACGACCCATGAGGTCTGGAACAGCTACGATCGCCGCAGCGGCCGCTATCATGGGTGGGAAGCATGACGCACTGGGTCACGTCACCAAGATGGCAAGGTGCCGAATAGTACCAACGCAGTTTCGAAGGTAAAACAAGCGACCAGTAGGAAACTGCGGGCACCCTCATTGATTAGTTTTATCTGGTAGCTCTGGCGTGACCATGAAACGCTGTTGTCCCAGGTGTCTCTTAAATGATCAGATATCCAGGCGAAACAAGTGGCCCCCAACGCTTGACCCAGTGCGGAAGGGGATGGGGGGGGAGACGTGAAGCCGGCGATTCGAGATCCGCCAGAGGTTGGCGAGGATGTGGCCGCTGACGTGGAAGGGTTTGGGGACTTTGGCTTGACAGTGTCTGGAGCAGGAGACACAGACTCTCCGGAAGCAGGTACAACGGAGAATCAGCCGATGAAGGCAACGGATTGTGAGGCAACGCCACTACTATCACCAACTCCGCCACCATTGGCCCTCGAAGCAGCCTGGCCGAGGTACGCCCAGACCGTAAAGGTTTCAAGCTGCATATCTCGATCGCAGCAAGGAGGGTAAGGGTTAGGATGACTTCAGAAACAGTCGCGCTGCTTCGATTATTGGGCTGTTCAGATTGGCTCCTGAAACGTGGCTAACCACTAGCCCGGGAGGGAGAGTCCCATGCTCGTATCCTATGGTGGACAGTTCGAGATGAAATATCATGTTGTTTGGTATCGGTTGTTTCGTGCAGGTGTAATCTCCGAATATGAAACGCCAGATACGATTCGAGCGGAACAGCGGCATCGAAGGGCTTGTCAGTGGGTGCTCTCGTGTTCGAGTAGTTGGTATAGGGACGACACGTGCCCACCAAAACAACAGTGCAACAGACAGTCTTTCCCACCAGCCGTCCCGCTCACCCAAAGAGGCATCAAGGATGTACGAGTGACCTCTACAAATTTGCAAGGCTCGACACACTTAGAATAAGTCGGAGGAGCCCACCTCGTCCACGGACATGTTTCGGCCAGTCGCGACGCCACCCACGAAATCTTCGTAGATCTCCCCCACCCGCTTGTCCATCAAGCTTCGCTGTTGAGGGCTGAACTCCTGCAGAAAGAAACAACGTGGTACAGTGAAGCATCAAAGCTTACCGTGTGGCCGGCAGCAGTACAATGACCAAACTGTAGTCCGAACAACAGAGGCATCGACATCCTCTTGAACTTAAGGAGATTGGCCGCGAGGTATCACAGCGAAAGGTACGCAAAATTGCTTCGATTTCGGACGCGTAGGACCCTTTCCTAGACGTTTGCACACGGGCTCAGTTCCCATCCGAACCGCTTACAAGGCAAGCAGTGCACCACTTGCGACGGAGGCTGTCAATACCGCGTGGTTTCGTGACCTTATCCCGGAGATTTTCTTGTTTGTGTACGTTCAACCTATGAAGCATCCCGTACACGTGAGTAACATCGCTGATCGCTACATCGACCACGACGCAAGAACAGTACAGCATGGTGCACGCCTTGCTGCCTCACCATGGAAAAAAGGAGCGCTGAAGAGGATAGCATTGAATTCAACTTCGATACATGGTAAGCAAGAAGCGTGGAACTGGAACAAGATCAGGCGGTCATACTTCCAGTACACACACCGCGATATCCTCCCTACGGTTGGCATGATGGCTAATTCGGTGTTCACGACAGGTCGAGCTGCTGTGCTTCACCTGTTCCTCCCGAAAAAACTGTTCCAAGGCGAAATACATGAAAGAAATGGTATGGATACGTTTGGTCCAGAATTCAAGCTCAGTTGTGCGCGTGTTCGGAAACGGAGGACTCAAGTTGACCACGGCGTGTGATTGTGGGAACTAAACGTGCGGACACGACGCTACATAATTGTACCCGCGTGTTTTGTCGTCTTACAGTCCCAGATGTCCGTCCACACGCACCTGGAGAGGAGAAAATGCGAGGTGATTCTCCGATAGCTCGATGCTGTCGACTTGGATGCCCCAGTCTTTCAGCAACCTAAGAACAAGACGGGATCATCCCATGCACAATGCAATCTGGAATCATGAACCATGCAGCACCACCATGGCCGGTACAACATTCCGACATTCCCAAGCGAATGCTTGTGGGAGAGGGGACAGGGGGTGCAACGACATCAGCAACCACAACCACGTGTCCAATCAACACATCCAGTCTCACCTCTGGACGGACAATTTAGCCGCGATGACACCGATTGACCCCGTGATAGTGGTCGGCTGTGCCACGATCGTGTCGCATGCAGCTGCTATCATGTAACCCCCGCTAGCAGCGAGATCTCCCATAGAGCAAACCACTGGCTTTCCTGCCAGCGCGCACGTGACAACGACAATGAAGGGCTGACAAAGACGATTTATGGAAGAAGATGCAGCAATTCAAACCTGAATGCGTTGAGCAAACCTCCGACAAATAAATATGACATGAATGTTCCACACTCTGAGTAATTTTCACACGATTCCTGACCTGCCAGTCTAACGCGACGAACTGCCGCGGCGATTGAGTCGCTCGCAACTGCAGAGCCACCGGGCGAATCCACCCTCAGCACAACGGCGCCAATGGAAGGGTCGTCGACGATTTCTTGGAGGCGCTGGATTTCAACGGAGTGGAAGATGGTACGGGTTGCTAGAATTAGATGGGAGCGAGTTGACGGCTTGTAGGAAACATGCAGTTGACCCGGGCGTCGGGTTGCTACTGCTCCCGTTCGCCTAGATACTGTTGCTAAGGCTGATCTCTCCGTAGAACTAACTGGCTTCACAGACAGATGGCGCACGTTCTCGGTGGATCGTGCCAGCACCATTCCTGGAAACCTAGGACGGAACGAAGAGTCAGTGCGTACTTCATATTGGCAAAAGTCGTGCCTAGGCACTCCGTCTATAAAGTGAATGAAGTCGAACTCAGAAAGCCAGCCAAGTGTGTTTTCTACCGCATGGCTCAGTACCGCACTTGTTCAAATCATGTGCCATGGGCACAATTTGTGCAAACATATGAGCCTCGCCGTCAGTCAAGCGACCATTTACGCCACATCTCTTGAGGCCGGATATACCGTGCAGTGCGGTAAAAACGATCTGCATTTGTAAAAAGTGAGGCACAACTACAAAGTGTACCTACATTCAATCAAGGCACATGCAGTGGCACCCACGGTCCGCGAGGAAGCGATGTCTCATCCTGCTCATGGTAAAATCGTTTGGCCGTGTAGCATCTCTCACCCAAAAGCAGTTCATCATTTTCCACTTGATAGCATAATCTCGCTCCAAGGTGGCAGGACGGAGACGTACTTTACTTTACGGGGTATTCCATCCCCCCGGCAACACCGACATTCATATGCAATTCTTGGGTATGTAGTTACCTTGCAAAGTGCGCTGCTGGTGGCTTGTTCAGCCGAGCCCGGGCCTAAGCCAGGGTCTGCGAACCTCGTGATCGCCCCGTTCGCGTTGACAAGAGCCACTTTCTGCCACGAAAAAACACAAACGCCAAGAAGACAATATAAAACTAGGTGTAGAGAAACGTGTATTTGACCACAGCGATGGTCTTGGAACGGTTATCCCTTGCGAGTGGCGGGACCTCCTCACGGGCATACATCATAGATGAGCTTGTGCCACACTCTGGCTATCGTGTTGCCAGGGGACGAAACGCTTCCAAGCCTCGGTCTGTTCGCAAGAAATAAAGGCAGAAGGTAGAGGTGACAGCAAAATACGGCATCACAGACACGACCGACAGCTCGAAAGAGAAGCTTCCGGCTGTCCCTCCTGACACCGAAAACAGGTATGGCAGGCTCTTACAGTGGTTGTGCAGAGGTGCGCACATCGCAGGCATGGCTTTTCGCGGGGGTGGGCCTACCTTGGGAGCAGTATTCTTGGCACCCTTCACAGAATCGAGGAGCATGTTGGCATCGAGCACGCTCTCTGATGCCCTGTTTTTCCTGCGCAGACATTCGGAGGGTTCTTGGTGAAAAGAGATACATGCGTGGCCGATCTCCAGAGACATAAGCCTAGCGGGAGGTGTGCTGACTGTAGCACCCCTGCGGCTTCTCACAAATATTTCCAAGGCGTAGTCAGCACTTGTAGCGATTGGTATAGATCGTCATACTGAAGTAGTGGAAATTCATGCAAAAACAGGAGCTCACAACACGTGGCTCACGATAATACGCCGAAGCTCACAACACGTACCTCTCGATGATGTTTCGTGGGTATCTCAGAAGAATGGCAACCGCCAGAAAACCGCTCATTGTGCCCAAAATCAATGAGCAACCGGCGGAAAAATGGTGCGAGGAACAACCAACGAGAAATCTGGCAACCCAACCATTGAGCCGAAACAAGGCTGCCCGATTGAACTGGTGCCCATGGCAATCCACGGCTGTTCGCCTACACCTGGAGCTTGCACGTTGAAATTTTCAACCGCCCTGCGAAATCGAGGTCGTGCATAGTGCCGACACGCTTTATGCTGAGACGCTTCTCAGCAGAACCCGAACCTGAGAAGAAACATATACGTGCACACTCCACAAGGAACAAACCTCCTCCAAAATTCGACAAACCACCTGCAAAATTTTGGTTTCCTTCGTCCGACGTGAACAAAATCTGCAAAATCACGCCACCGCGACTTTGGCGCCGGCCGAAAACTCGATCGTACCACGTCAGAATCGGGAATCCACGATCACTAGACTAGACTCAAGCTTGCTGTCCACCATTTTGAAAAAGAGTCGTTCTCTGCCCAAGAAGGGTGCGTAACAAACCATAGACCGTGCGCTCCTCTGCGTATTGATTTGCCCATAGCTTCCCTCCCAAAGCAAATACAGCATGTGTCTTTCTAACTACCAACAATGCGATTTCAGCGAAGCTCTCACCCCACAAGCCCCTTTCGCGAGGGGAGCCCGCGACTGTTTACATGAAAGTCATTGGGTCTAGACACCTCGCAAGTGAGCGAAGGCAGATTTGAAAGGGGGCACAGTTTCAGCTGCGGTAAACGAACCGTGCTTGGGTTACACACACTCGTTTCGAGAAGGAGCTCACATAAAACCATATTGGGATTCTGATTCCCAATATGGAGGCATGATCGGGCCCCGAATTCACTGTGGTATTTTCACGCCAAAGCTAGATACGGAAATAAACTCGGGAGTTTCTTCGATTCCCACGAAGAGGCGTGCACATTGTTGGGCTGGGCGTCCCCTTCGAAGCACAGCTGGTAAATCGCTCAAGCTTTGGACGAAACCAGCCGATGACACAACCAATTGCCTAACGATTGGGCATCCTGCGTACGTGTTATCACCCATCATGACTACATGGTTCGATGTGCGAGTGGGATCATGTTCGGCTCCCTATAATCGTTGAAGGATAAAATTACACGAAACCGTGCGGTAGCTCGGGTTCTGTGTCACCGGGTTATCCGTATAATTTCGGAATATTGTCCCGTGGCAAACTGTTACGCTTCGCTACAGCACCCCTCAGGCCCGACAGCGGCAGTATCGCATTCTTCATCTCTTCAACACCAACCATTTCGCGGGAATCAGTGTGAAAAACTATCATGCACAGGCTCACCGCATCTTTTGGATGTAGTCGCGCATGGAGACCCGCGTGTACTTGCTTCCCTCTGAATCGGCGAAGGTGGACAGGACGTTGTCCTCAGATTTATCGACCGAAGTCTTGAGCACCTTCCGCACACAACGCGCCAAGAAGAGCCCGGAGGAGGAACACCGGTATTCGATTCAAATCACCCCCCTTCATTGGTTGGGTTCCCAGAGTTTCCCTAGGGGGAGTACTAAGCAAACGTTGGGCATATCCCATTGTCTGAAGACGCAACAAGCGTAACATTTCGATCACAGCTACAATATTCACACCTCGATTTTCTCTCCAGCGGTGGCATCGTTCTCCGCGTCTGCCGTCTTCGCTTTGAACCCCGCCTTCACCATGCTCTCCACATCATGTTCATACATGATTCCTGTCGACAATGATTACGTCCCACGCCACGCCACGGCGTCCATTGTCGAGAATGTTACACCCGGCTCGCTGTAGGTGGGGGAACTCCGCGCTCTAAGCAAGCTTAACAAAACGAAATGAAGTTGACCCGGCTGTACCCTCCCCGCATCGAGCAATGATGAAGAAAATCAGAACCCGTATAAATCAAAACGAGTCCATTCCCATAGTCACGAAAGCACTAATTGTGCATTAATCATGAACAAACAACAGAACACAACGGGAAAATTGACAACAAGTGACCACTTTGTGGCAAACATCAGTCAGGATGGTGAGTTTATGCCTATGTACCTCACACAAAACACACGCAAGAATGGTGGGTGGAAATCGTGTGAAGAAGGAGGCTCGGGCTCAATTGGAGTTTATCCTCATCGATTTACGCTATCTGGCGTTTAGCGTGCAACTGCTGTAGAATCGCAACAGATCAAGAAATATTCGTGTTTTGGTGCTGGGATCGAGGAGTGTTGGTTTGGAAACCTCCGTTCGATTGTCTAGGGTTCTTCAGAGAGATAAAGGGAGAGAGAATAAACGTGAAAGGTTTGCTTCCTCGTAAAGTACGAGCCCGTAACCGTGTGTCGCCGGGGTCAAGGATCGACCATTAGTTGAAAATGTCATGCAGGCGAATCTTTGTCTCGGGGCATCACGTAGGCATACATAGCTCCAGATTCACCCTTACCCACCCAATAGTTAGGACCTTTCGTGTGAACTTTCGGAGACCAGGGGTAGTTCGGAATGGGGGAGTTCTTATACGTACAGTATAATAGTACTCGGAAGAGCTCTGGTATTATTGTCAATTAATTCTCCATTTTCTGCAATGTTCGCTCAAGAGTAGGTTTTACCGAGGGGAGGTTCAGTCACCCGCGTCTCATTCACTAGATGAAGCTTGACTGGTGCTTTGAAGGAGGGTTTCGCCTTGAGTAGGCAGCAACGACAGGTGTGGTATTGCGGAGGTCGGCGCCACGCGATTCGAGAAGTACGCATGGATTCTCCCTCATCAGGCCACACAACTGTGTAATCGAGCGATCCGAGAGTGAAAAAATGGAAGCGCATGCGGGACGATCCAAAAACAGTACTTGTGACTTTCCGAAAGAGAGTACTGAAAGAGAGTGCTGGCTTTCCGTTAGAAGCGCGGCCACTTGTCGATTTTATTACATTGTTTGCAGCACCCACAATAAACTGTATCATGTGTAGTATTTCAGCATGATGACCATTTGCTACTCGAACCACTTGAGAAAGTAGAAGGCGCCAGCAGATTGAATGCCGCGCGACGCCTGTAGTGACTCCACCTCAAAGAGGCAGCAGTTCATGAGGCAAATAAATCATCAAATATGTGAATGCAGCGTGGTGGTTTCCCTCGCCCCCGAATAAAAACACATGGGCAATGAACTTACCGTCGATGAGGTTAGCCGACAGGGCAAGCGTCGCCGGGAGGGGACAGTCGTGCATGATGGCGTACACATCCTTCCGGTCCTTGAAACCCCTGGTTCAACCCGGTGATAAGCATACAGCAGCGAAAAAAACTGACCGAAACCCAAACCTTGCACTTCGAGAACAATTCACGTGCTGTGCAGAGCACTAGTATCGTTAACGATCTCATGCAACCCCATCTGTCCACCTGTCCACCTCGCCGCCCCTCGACCAAGTCATAAATTACATTGCCATGCCCCAGACGTACATCTGCCCTGAATTTTCTACTGCTGCTGCTGAGAACTCGTTACCGCAATGTTGATACCGACATCCACAGTGGCTGGTAGCACTCAGAAGCAAACGGAGGTGGCAATCGCTATTATTCTGCTTCCTTCAGAATGAAAAGGGCGATGTACCTGGATCAGAAATGCAATACTATTGTCAAGAAAAACAAAAGTGCACGTTTTGCGGCCATCGGTTACGTCTCACGCATGTACCTAGGCATAAAGTACCGCTCGTCAGAGGAGCAGCGTCCAACAGTGAAGGTAAAAGAGCAGCTGCTGCAGCAGTTTAACCCCAGGCCTCACCGGGAAGCCGCGACGCCGTCTGCAACGTCGTCGAGCATGGACGTGAGAAGCGACGTCATCGCTTCTCGCTCGTGCGGGCTATACGCCTTCCTGACCAGACTCTCCGCGGCGCTCTTGTACTCCTGTGCGGAATGTGCATCAACGCTTCAAGAGTTGGTCGAGCGTCAACCATCGAATGTCCCTTCAAACCCGAAACGATTCCCCTTCTGAATTCAGCGCGAATTGATTTAGATGTAAGTTATTTGCCTCGATAGTTCCATAACGCAAGCCCACCTCTTGAAAAACTGATCCAAAATCGACTTCAAAGTCAACCTTCTCATTATCTAGTGGCCATTGTACAACGAGACAATTCTGGACACCTTTCGCTACCTTGGGGCGATCGAAGAAGAAACAAATCTAAATGATGGGTTTTTTTTAATATTTAACAATTATTTATTGGGTTTTTAGAGGACAAGTCGTACCGCAAGCCGACATATGCCACACGTGCGATGCAAATTTCGTACCCACCTCGCGAGCGAAGACCTCGGGCTTAATGCCGTACTTGTCCAAGAAGCCCCTGAAAAACAGCTTTTGGCCACCGCTCCCGGTAAGACCCACGTAGCCAGTCTTTTGCACCAGAACCTTCTCGAATGCGGAGGCCAAGAAGTACTCGCCAACGGCCTGTTTGAAACGGAATCCCCGAACATGATAGTTCCGGTCGAGTCAGAACCTGGGCGGCCACAGTGAAGCAGGAGTCCCCGCCTCGAGTCAACTGAATCCGACCTCGGAAATGTAGAATTGTCTCGCCCAGGGGCAATAGTCCTTGTTTCCACCCGACATTTCAAAGACTCCACTAACAACCCGACGAACGAAGGAGCTAGATGCATGGCAATCGAGCAAATTGTGTCTCGAGCTCGTGATCACAGCATCATCCTCCTGACAACCGCGAAACTCACACAACGCGTCGAACCGACAAACCAACTCTACCCAGCCATCTCACCGGACCGCCTTCCCCGAACGTATCTGCTACCGCGATAGTAAACCTCTTCCGCTGCTGCCCGTCCGCCTCTGCTCCTTCACCAGCCGTAGCAGAAGCATCACTGCCGGCCTCGCGAAAGCGAGTGACGGCATCGCGAACCTCTTGAACGCAAGCCAAGTAACCCCCTCCCCAGCTGCGGTAGCTGAACCTGTTTGTTGCAAGTGCAAAGCAGCATCGCGGGAAAACGAGAGAGAGAGAGAGAGAGAGAGAGAGAGAGAGAAACAGAGAGAGAGAGAAACAGAGAGAGAGAGAGAAGTGAAAAAGAAATGGCCGCAGTGCGGTCATACAAGAAGAGCCAGTGAACAGGCCTGTGCTCCGTAGTTTTTTTTTTTTCGGTGATTTTTTCCGATTGCCAAAAAAAAGTCGGTCGTTATTCTAGCTGCACGAAAAGGTTTTTCGGTGAAAATCGGTGACAAAAAAAAAAGAAGTAACAATCACAAAAACTTTTTGGGTGATTTCGCTGACAATTTGAAGTAATATTGGGGTGAGCTTCCGAAAAACGTCCTTAGGCGACTTTCGGCGATGTTTCGAAGGATCGTAGTAAGTACTCCACGCTAAATACCGTGGGTGGTGTCTGCAGCGCGGTGCTTGGGTTGCGTGCTCTGTGTGCTGTGTGCGCTGCTGCTGTGCTGCTGCGCTTGAGGGAGGGGTATCTGATAGGATTTAGGGGGTATAGCCTGTATAAACGGAGCCCCCTAAAAAAACGGTGGAAATAGGTGGGCGCCGACAACAATCGGTGAGGCACCTCCCGTTTTCGGTGATCGGCCACTTTGTTCTGTGATTCAAAATCCTCACTTTTTTCGTTTCAAAATTCGGTGATTTTCGGTGATCACCTACGCAGCACAGGCGTACCAGTGAAATCCTACTGCGAATCTCAAAGGTAGTCACCGCACAGACCTTGAATAAAGAAACACTGTCCACGAGGTCGGGACCACCCTTTCATCGAACACGTCTACATTGGGCTCCATGCTACGGTGGGATTACTTGAACCGCAAAGACGGCTGTGATGACGGGGAGAAAAAAACGTTTGGGGTGTTAATCTGTACTAAGCCGACAGTACATAAGTGTATGCCAACAGGAACAGAACCCTCCCTGGTACGGCAAGCATCACGCCGCTACCCTCTCAGACGTGGATAGCTTTTGCCGCCGCAAGATTTCATCAGCCACAAGCAAAACAAGACTCTTGTCCTGTAACTTTTACATACCTGCCCAAGACGCCCCTGACCCTGTTGTCCTTGGCCGCCATCTCAAGAGCATCCACCACATCCCTGCACGTTGAAAAAGGCAGTGAGGGGCATTCTTGCGTAAAGAGATACGACGAGACAAACGGACTAACAACATCATCACCTAGACGTCCCCCAACCCGCCGTTACCACCATGCGGGAAAAACACAACAGCGGGAGACCATCGACACATGGTATCGTATTGATTGCCGCAAACGTCCACCCAGCACAATCTCCACTTGAACGTAGTAGAACCGATCAACACGTGTGATGTACGGCACAGATCACGATTGGCAAGTCCATCAACTACACAATGCATCACGAGGATCGCTTACCTTGTCTCCATACTCTAAACATACCAGAAAAAACGAAGCACATCGCGTGATGGTCAACGGTTGCCGCTTACAGAGATCCCACCTCGCACAACGCAGCAGTAAACACAGGTGCACTAAGAAACGAAATGGGATGAAACCGCACAAAACGATTGATCGCATTTCCCTTCGGACGCAAACGAGAGGCATTGGTCGACACGCGAACAATATTGATGGGCTGGCGGCCACGCAAATTACGTCTTGACGTTACTGGATGTGATTCAAGGCCCGCCGCTCGGCCAGCAAGCACAAGTTCCCGACGCCCCAAACGCCTGAAACATTGCACTTATCCCCGCGTGACGCCAAGGCCGTCCACAGCGGGGGAAGAATACCTCTCATCACAGTCACTAAAACGAACAAATGCACGCTACGCCCGTTTCACTGCTGTTCAAAGAGAAGTGTTGTCGAGGACCGTGTTCACTCACATCCCTCACAATCGCGGCACACTTGCCTGAAATACAGTGGCTGTGGCTCGCCAGACACGAAGGACAAATCCACGCCCGGCGGTGTCTTTGACAAGGGTCGGGAGAGGTCCATGTCGAGCCAGATTTCGCCTTCGGGGAAGCGAGTGCGCCTCCGCCGGTTCGACTCAAAAGAGGAAACGCAGGTACATCAAGAAAACGGCACGTTTAGCAACACATGTTGATTGAACTGACTTCTCGAGGAAATGGAAAATGCGGCAAAAAATTCTTCACAATACAACATCTGCAGTACGAAGGCAGTTGCGCCTGCAACTGGTTCGTGGAAAAATATGATTGCCTGAGGTGTGGACGGGTACTATAGGAGCAACAGTAGATTTTTAATCGAGTGGCTCATTTTCTACAACAGCACAAGAGACAGCAGTGTCAAGTGGAGTCGAAGTGAACATCGAAAGAGGCACGGCCGAGACCAAGCCGACCACTTCACATCCGCATCTTGCATTGCCCACGAAGCGGTGAAGCCTCGACCTTTTTTCCCATCATCGAGGAGAAGCAAAGAAAGACTTATATGTATATATCGGCCTCTTGTAACGCCATGCAGGGTGCCCTCGTTTGAAGCACACTCAAATTACGGGCAACCGAATAAAAATCCTTTTCGCCCAGAACAAAGCAACAGAGCACCGAATGACTATCGGTTGGCTTCTGACAGGGAAAAAAATAGGGCACCCTTCGTCGCACGGGTTTGGTGGAGCTCCGACAAGAGGTGGCGATGCCACACAGGCCTGTCCCGAAAATCGTTAGGAGACACCTCGCCCAAACCCGGGAGTTGTTAATCGAAGGGGAAAGTGGAAATCCCACAAACACGATTCAAACCTGGAGTATAGTAGGCAACACTCGGCAAAAAATGCCAAACCGCCGGGAGGAGAAATTCAGTACAGTGGGTGGCCCGATATAGTGCCGGTTGAATAGTACCGGTTGCCGGTATAGTGCCGGTGTGTTCGGCTCGCACACACTGGAATATCAAGTCTTTCTGTACTCTGAATAGTGCTGGTGCCCGGTATAGTGCCGGTGAGTTTTCTCTGCACATACCGGCACTATATCGGGCCACCCACTGTAGCAACAAAGAACCGGGCGATCGCTTTCTGGGTACACAACAACGAGGCTCGACGATGTGCTTGTTAGTATTCCCGTTGGAAAAACTCACAGCAGCCCACACCAATTGGCCGGGCGGGGGGGGGCTACTTGTCTTGTGGGCTGTGGGGGTCGGCTTCTCGCCAAGCCATCCTGCTGCAACTCATTCGACACATTTCATTTGACCGTTTCGAGGGTGCCAAGCCAGATTATTGACAGGAACACCAAGCTGCTGTCATACAAAAGGGTTTGATGCGTGGTCAAAGTACACAGAAGGAGACGTCGAGGGAGACATGAATACTGGCCAGCCGAAAAAATAGAGGGCGGAAGCACGCCTGACAACGGCAGCCCCTGTATCCTGACATGGGCACGCGCGAAGTACTCACGTTGCGTTGTTGATGCACGCAAGGGAAGAAGTATCATACAAAGTGGACCGCTTCCGCGAGAAACAAAGTTCTTGAGAAATAAGAACAGGGAGGAGAGAAACACCCTGCGAAGTCTACTGAACGAAGTCTTTACTTCGCACAAGTACTTACCGCTGCAGAAGCCTTTACCGTAGCAGCGACAGATAGAGAGGCCTTGCCCTCACGCTTATATGTGGATTTGTCCGCACGAGGGCCGGTGCGTTTAGGGCTGGCATGGACGACGGGACTATGAACACATAGCATACCATCTTCCAAAGTCATTTTCTCAATGTGCGTGTTTAGACGTACTCCGCAGCAGCACTTGAGGAGATGGCACGTACGGCCGATGTCGGTGTTGCACTGCCCGGTTGTGTGCAGTCGAACTTGGTGAACATTGTCGCGGGTGAAGTTGCCTTTGGTATTGGTCTGTTGCTGTCCGCACTGTACAAGTACTGCTGTAGGCCAATTTCTTCAAGAGAGGACAGATAATCTTACAGTAGAGCGACTCACACCACAGATCACATTTTGACGGCACGAGAAGGAGAATATTACGTGCAAGGGTCACAGCGCGTTGGGTTTTGTCTTGATGACTTCGCGGTCGTATCGCTGACCCAAAGTCGGTCGTAAACAGCAGTCGCAGCGGTAGATGGTTGTGGGTACCAAAAGAAGATTACCTCACCATGTACAGAAGCGAAGCTGCTGCAACGCCACCCACAAGGAAGGGCCGCTGCTTCACCTTGCTCAATATCATGGATGATGTCATCCTTTTTCTTTACAATAGAGCAGCAGAAGAATGCCTGGTGACTCCCTTGCTGTGTCTGGTAAAGGCCTGCTGAAGGAAAGGGCAGTCAGCGGCAGCAGGCGGATAATTGCGGCGAAGTACGAGGGGGCGCGCAAAGGACAAGACAGAGTGATACAGGGGGGCCCGCGATACACACCAGGTGGCAGCAACTCTGTGGGAGAAATAACCGGATTTTATCACAACATCCAGCAGCAACGCGCATACCTGTGCAGTCGCCAGGTGTCATTGACATCTGCACCTCTTTTAAGCGGTTAATTAGCATAGGCAACGCGCCATTGGCACGCGGGTGGGGATACAGCATTGTTGGTGTGCTAAAGTGGTAATTTGTCAAGGACCCGCCCACAGGCATCTTGATTGATTTTTCTTTGGAGCCAGGGTATTTACCCAATAAAATTTTTTTTATTTATTTTTTACACGGGCAGGTTTAGTACAGTACAATACTGCCAGTATTTTCAGTATTGCAGTACCTTTGGCCATAATATACTGTACTGCACGCTTTAGTACAGCTTTCGATACTGGAATAAAAATACTGCACGCTTTAGTACAGCTTTCGATACTGGAATAAAAATACTGCACTCT